TGTTTGGTGTGACGGGGATTCGAACCCGCGACCCTCAGATTGCGAGTCGAGCGCCTTAACCACCTGGCCATGCCGGGCCGTGTGAAAAAGAATAATCAATTATTTGAAAGAAATCGAGCTTCTTGATCTTTTGAAAGATATCGCATTAAAACAATGTTTGACCAACATGTTGACGTAGTGTAAATCTACCACCAGAAACAATGATCAATCAAGGATTAATGTTGTTGAACACGTCAGGAAACAAAAAACAAAGTACGATCAAGGACTCGCTTTGTTAAATAAGAAATTGTTGGATATACAAGACTGTTTAGTGTAAGTGTTATTATTTAATTTATTTTGTTAATTAATATTTAATGATTGTTTAGTTTTTTATAACAAGAGTGTTACAATTTAATCATTTTAAAGGCGATAGTTATGACAAGTTTGGTTGTGGAACTTGGTAAGAGTCGTATGTTGTGTGTGTGGCTCAACTGTTGTAGTGTTGTTAACGCCAAGTTACTCGAATCTTCGGTATTTTTCTCGTTACCATAAGTGAGTATTGTTACCTTACAGCGCCGCTCGCGTAGTTTAGAGAAAATTCGAGGCTTCAGTTGGGTAAACTATAAATATAGGCAATGAAGCGATTGCAAATCAAGTGAAGTAAAGTATTTATTTATTTATTTTTGTTTATTTGTAATTAAGCACAAAGCTACACAATGGGATATCTGTGCTCTGCCCACCACGGGTATTGAAACCTGGATTCTAGCGTTGTAAGTCCGCAGACATGACGCTGTACCACTAGGGAGCAAAGTAAAGTAAAGTGAAGGAAAAATGCAGTTCAGCCAGAAAATTAGTTAGCGAAAGAAAATGTTAAGTTAGCTGACGTGTGAGTGATTACCCATAACAGACGATATTTTAAAGTGAGTTTCACAGTTTATTAGAGATAAGGAGAATACTTTGTCTTGTCAAAGAGTGTTCTAAAGTAATTGAACCTGTCTATCTGGTCTTTGACGAAAAGGAGACAATTATTTAAAGTTCGAGATACAACTGTGGTTACCCACAGAGTGACGTAAGTGAATTTATCGCAGATTGTACAGTTAGAAACAAAGTAGAGAAAAATAATTCGTCTTTCCAATTGGATTCTAAAGTAATTGTGTCAGCCTGTGTGGACGTTTGACAAGAAAGAGAATTATTTAGAGTTTTAAGATAAAATTGTGATTTCCTATAGTGTAAATAATTTTTGTACATACAACTGACTTATATTGAATATATTATTTTAAAACAAGTTGATTATGTGCTGTCCTTTTATTGTTCGAGTTTATTGCCAACAAGTCACAGACACCTACTGTAAAAGAATCCAAACCCATATACATAAAACTCTGACACAATGAACAAAGTACGATCAAGGATACGTTTCATTAAAGAAGACAGGAAATAAAAAGAAATAAAGAGTGATAAATAGAGTACGATCAAGGACTCATTTTGTTAAACACGACAGGAAATAAAAGGCGATAAATGGTTCTTAATTTAAATAAATAAATATCCTGATTTAAAGCTTATTGATTATGGTCACGATACACATTACATAGTAATTTTTATCTTAACCCTGATAAGGTATTTATTTCATTAGCCACATAAACTAATATATATATATATATATATATACATATACATTGAATTTAATCTCAACCATAATCATAATAGATTGAACCTACAAATCAATGTTTTCAGTTTAATTCGAATATAACGATAAAATAGAACATTGTATGATACGTATATACATACAAATTGGTTCCCTTCTGCAAAGTTTTAAGCTTTAGTAGTTAAGGCAGTTAAAATCTCCGAAAACTCAGTTACAATATTTTTAAGATGCTGCTATCACAAGAAAGAAGGACAGTAAATGTAAACCAGTCGTAAACGTTTTTCCCAGTAGAATTATTTGTAGCTGCATTTTAAGCCTCTATAAGACAATTAATCTTCACAACAGTTGATAATTCCTACTTTCATTTCCTGTTTCTGATTCCACTGCGTTTTCAAGCGTAGTGTTTCCTCCTGATGCTGTGGAAAGATATAGAAAAACGTATACAAGCAAACTTTAAAGTAGTCAAATAAAGTATGTAAATTAATTCAAATGTAATATTTCGACATTGTTTTGTAGTGGTTTATTAGTATATTTAATATTTTAAAGTATCCATGTTAATGATGAAAGATTACACATACAGAAACTTGAATGCTTATACAAACTCCTGTAACACCAACAAGATAGCGATTGTAAATATTCTTTGTTCCTTAATAAAAAATATTTGAATTAATTATCTAATTCCAGCTAAAACTTGAATATGAAAGAAATTGGCATCAAAGAACGAATAAAGTGAGCACCATAAGCATTTTTTCTAAACTTTCTATTTTTAAAACTAAATTTCTTACAATTTTCCATAATGAAATGTGATATTATGGTATTTCTAGCAAGAGTCTAAAAAATGGGATCAAAATACAAATAACACTTTACGATCTGTAACTTATTGCAAAATACTCGAGTTAGTTTGAACGAAAAAAAATACATTTATTTCATATTGTTTGGTTGCGTATATAAGTTTATTAGTATGTTTAATATTCCAAAGTATCTATGTAGTTAAAGGGAAAAACTGCAATTAAATAAATCCATTTGAAACTAATTATTATTCTTGCATTTCAGTAGGTTTTTGAGGACATATGTACATACCTTGGTATTGGTGTGGGTAAAATAAGTCTTGTTATTCCCAATACAGATATTCTGTTGAGTAACAGAGTCAGGCTACACATAACAGTGATGATAGATAATATAATTAATACTACAAACAACAGCACAATACTACTGGGTAACAAAAGTCACATTGTAAATGACAGTGTAATTTCATTTGATAATAGTAGCCAGAGGTACTCACGACAGATGTTGCATTATTTACATCCGTGATGTTTTATTAGATGGCTGTATAATAGTTGCAGTAATTAATTGTGTTTGAATAGGTTTGCTGTGGACAGTGATAAGAAACAAAGTGAAATGGCGTTTTTAGTTGTGATAAGGATTATAATATTTAGAAAAAGCACAAAGAATCGGTTTGGGAGAAGTATTTAAAGATACATTAGAAAAAAGAAAGGTGCGTTAACTTGAGGAAGCCCTAACGGACTAATCAAGTAAAATGAGGTAGGGAAGAAAATACTAATTTCTTAAAGAGAAAGAAAAAAGAAATGGAGAACAATAGCAGGTCATTTAATGGGTGTAAAAAAAAGATGTTTGAAAGGGAAATTGAAAATGGAGAATAGGTAAGTGGAAGTTCAGTTAAATCCAAAAAAAGGAGAGAATAATTGTTACAATGTAAAACTATCAGTGTGTAGCAGATGATAAAAGATATGGAAGACAAATTACGGGAAGGAGAAATATGATTTCAAGTATTGGAAAATAAGACGAACAAGAATACAATGAGGAAGAAGTTGTGGGATATCCATGGAAAGGTCGAAAAAATTGAATAAGGAAGGAATTGGTGGTATTGAATAACAGAATGGATGGGGACCAGGGAGGGAAATGGTGTAAATAAGAGCAAGAAAAAGAAAGACCCAATGATTAAAAGCATGAAAATAGAAAACAAGATTGAGTCAATTGAGTGGCAGTTATAGTGAGGATAAAAGAAGGTTTGTTTGTTTGTTTGAAGTTAAGCACAAAGCTACACAATGGGCTATCTGTGCTCTGCCCACCACGGGTATCGAAACCCGGTTTCTAGCGTTGTAAGTCCGCAGATATACCGCTGTGCCACGGGGGGGCGATAAAAAAAGGACAGTAAGCTTAAGACGAAAAATCAGAATATATATAACTTGGAATTGGAAAGCAAAGAAAGAAAGGATATTTTAGACAAAAATGAAAAGGGTGTCGGAAGAAGTGAAAATAAATAAAGAAGACTAGGAAATGTTAATGGAGAAGATGAATAAGTTTTTGAAAATTATAATAGAGAAGGTTCAAAAGAGAAGAGAGAATGGATAATTGACCGATAATGTAAATAACCATAAATATGCACAAAAGGAGAGAACGACTAATTAGGTAAAATATAATGAAATGCAGCAGTTATATCAAAATAAGGAGAAAAAGAGATGGGAAGATCTGGGAAGAGGTTAAAAATAGTAAAAACAAAAAGTGGAGTTTTGGAAAGAGCTGAATATGTTCAGGTGAGAATAGAATAAATCGTGAATATGAAAGAATCGAGGAAACATTTGAAGGTGTGGAGGAAGGAATAAAATTGTAAGAAATTAAATGAAGAGGTTCAAGAATAGACAAGACATTGGATTGTCAGTGAATGATTTTTTTGTTTCATAATTTTCGCGCAAAGCCATACGTAGGGCTCTCTGCACATAGCTATCCCACATTTTGAACAGACAGACTTGTAGGAAGACAGCTAATCAATGGCACCCATTGACAACTCGTGGGCTACTCTTGTCTGACCAAATAATAGGAGTTGATTGTCATTCTTATAACGCATCCACAGGACCAGAATACTGAGCGCGCTTTTGCTACAATGGGATACTAACAATAAACACATGAATTCACAGTCCAACAAGCTACCATTCATTGGAAATAAGATAGATTTTTAAAAGCAGTTCAAACGTTTAAGAAAGAAAAAAGTTCAGGACAAAGTGCAGAGTAGAATGAATTTTGTATGGATTTAATAAAAGAAATGAGAATCAAAGTTTTGGCAACTATTTGATCAAAATATTTTGCATGTTCAAAATCAGAGAAGATGAAATAAAGGGGTCATCTATATAAAAATGGGATTTGAAAAAAGAATCAGATTATATAAAAAAAAAACTCCGTGAAGAGGTTATGTAAAAGTGCATAAGCTAAACAAGAAAGATTAGGAAAACCTGTCCTCTTTTTTATTGTAACTGGAACACACAGCAACATGAATATAGAAAGGGGGCCAAGCTTTCCCCAATTTTTACTTGTTTAAATTACATGCGTTTATATTGCATCTATAGAGATGTTGCCCTTCTATAAAAATTGGCTTTTTTTATAACACACACTTATATGGTTGAACCCGTTATTCTAACTTGGCTGTTTTTCTTACATGTAAAATAATGTTTTGATTGGATATCATTATTGTTTTTTGTTTAGACAATTAAAATCGGTTACTTCTATTACTTTACAGGTGGTAAGGTCTGTTGTTAAGCGCAAAGCTGCACAATAGGCTATCTGTGATCTGCCCACCACAGTGTTAAGGAGGTGTAAAGTTTGAATTCCGTGCGATACCACAAAATATTCTCTGCAGTTGATACTGTATAAGATTGGCAGACAATTCCTTAACATGGATAGTGGGTGGTAGGATGCTGCTGACTGATCAATTAGCGATGGCAGCAGATCGCCTCAATAGCTTTACTATAAATACAAATATACAATTTTCATGCAACATTGTTAGATATTTTGATTACATATGTTGTTTACTTAGTTAAAAAAAAATTCTAAAATAAATGAGACTAAAATCTGAACATTTTGCATTAGTCCATTTAAGTATTCTTGACTTTGATTCTGGAAAGGAGTGAGAAGAGATATGATAAAAACAGCAATGTCTTTGATCATTCTTTTAATTTAAAACAGATATAATACACTTTAACATGGCACATTATTTTAAAATTAATTGAGAATAAAATCCAACACGAAATGGCATTCGAGCTCAGCTATCACGTGAAAGTTATCATCACAGTTACAGCATTTTAGACCACTACGCCATTCCCTAATTTGAAATATTACATTAGGTAGAACACACTTAAGTCATCTTTAAGCCTAGTAGCTGTGATGAGCAATTCAACAACAAAATATTCTCAAAAGTCTTCATATATGTTCTACAGTTGTCAACGGTCCCTTGTACAAGTTAATATCTACAAGTGGAATTTTGTTTTGTTCCGGCCCCTCTTTTTTACTATATGTATTGCCACTTAACAATGAGAACAACAATAATAATTTTACCACTTTTGACTACTTAGTTAATGTAAAATGCTTAATGTAAAACAGATATAAAGCTTTTATTTTCATATGATATCAGTATGTTTAGGTCTTGTAAGAAACTTAATAACAATTTCGTTACAGTATTTGGAACAATTGTGGCATTATCCAAGATCTTGTCAATAGTTTAAACCGGTATATAAAGTCAAGACACTGTTACTCCAACTTTAAACTTATCTACAGCCACTACTGTATCTCTATCAAAAGTAGTAATATCTAGTCAAATCTTTTACATGTATAAAAACAGCAATGTTGGAAGAAGATTGGGGAACTGGGCCCCTTTTTATACTCATGTTGCTGTTTGTAGCAGTTGCAATAAAAAAAGAACCAAGTATTACCCAAATTTTTCTTGTTTAACTTACCCACTTTTACATTTTTACAGGGTTTTCCTTTTATATAGCCTGGTCTGGTTTGGTATCATATATTTATATGACTGACCTCTATTTCAACTTGGGTCTTTTCTGTACAGGTAAAATGTTTTGACCAGATATAACAAGATCCTTTTTTGGTATCAAATCGTTACATGACTGATACCTTTATGAGCAAATAAATATTTAGGAGTTAAGGAGGGAAATTCGTACCTTCTTTCAAAGTTGCATTGTTCCATTTATACTATAAAAACAACGTTGGAACTATATACTCCGAAATATAAAATGGTTTAACATGACTTGTTGCACTAAAGTTTCTGCTGGAACATACAGTGCCTTGCAAAAGTATTCACCCCATGCAAAGTTTCCACTCGCAATCATGAAACTGTCAAATAGGACATTATACTTGAGAAAACTTTAAAAAAAAAACGCCGATATTATGCGAGTAAGTAAGATTTTCAAAGAAAAATAGAATATTCTCAATTGCATGAGTATTCAACCCTTTTGCCACGGCAATCCTAAATCAGTTCAGAAGCAAAAGATTAGTTTGAAAGGTCATAAAATTAGTGTAATGGTCTCTGTCTCAGTGTAATCAAAGTGGTTTAACTTGACGCAGAGTAAATAGTTCAACTCACAACTCACATAGTAATATAACAAACCAACCAAGGAGCTTTCCAAACAAGTCAAGTGTAAAGTGGTAGAGAAGCACAGATTAGAAGAAGGTTGCAAGAAAATTTTAAAGTCGCTGATTATCCTTTTGAGTACGGTGAAGTCCATCATTAAGATGTGGAATGTGTTTCATACCAAACAGTCACTAAATCTCGTATGGAGTTTGTGATAAAGCATGTAAATGATACTGCAAGCATGTGGTAGAAGGTTTTGTGGTCAGGCGAGACAAAAATTGAGCTATTACGTATCCAAAGCATTACATTTAGCACAAGCCCAACACAGCACATCATCCAATCAACACCATCCCAACTGTCAAGCTGTTGCTGTCGGGATGATTCTCATCAGCAGGGACTGAGAAGTTTGTCAGGATTGAGAGGAAGATGAATGGTGCAAAGTACAGGCAAATCTTAGAGGAAATCCTGCTTGGGTCAGCTAAGAATCTAAAACTGGGTCGAAAATTCACATTTAAGCAGGACAATGACCCGAAGCACAAGGCCAAAGGCACACTGGTGTGGTTTAAAAAGAAGTGAATGTTCTGAAGTGACTTGAATTCAATGGAAAATTTATGGCAAGACTTGAAGATTACAGTCCATCAACGATCCACAACGAACTTGTCAGAATTGGAGCAATTTTGCCAGGAATAATGGACAAAAATTACACTATCCCATTGTGCAAAGCTGGTAGAGTCCTAGTCAAAAAGACACACAGCAGTAATTGCTGTTAAAGGTGCTTCCACCAAGTATTGACTTAGGGGCTGAATACTTATGCTTTCAGCAAATTTTAATTTATATATTTTCTTTACAGGTTTTGTTGACATTCAACCTCCTTCTCGCATAACAGTATTAAGTTTGATTATTAGAGTTTTGAATAAAAACGAGTCCATTAAATTTTTCTTATATCATTTGCATTTCACCAAAATGTGACATTATTGGTAGGGGGTGAATATTTTTGCAAAGCACTCTACAAACTTAATATAGTCTTTATGAATTACCAAGCTGACGTCATGAAATAAATACTTATATACAAACTATTCTTTAGATTCATAGCAAAATGAATAGTAATGCGATTTAATTTAATAAGAAATGTTATTGCTTTTGGTGTTCTGCTTAATTTTTTACAAAATCACAAGGAATCGCGTATGAAGAACAACAGCTTTTCAGTTGGTTATTATTATAAGAGAATTTACGATAGCACTTAATACTCTTGTTAATTGTGTATGGAAGCAAATTATGCTGACATAATAATAAATTGGCAAACAAAGATTTATAAGCATACTGAAGTGGTTTATTTTTGGGGGAACATACCACATGTTTCGACAGAACATTGGTTTGTCTTCTTCAGTTACTTGAATTACTAAATTTAACATTGAAATTTGTTATAAATGCCTTAACAGGAAAAAAATACAAGCACAAATAGGAAAAATGTACATATTTTCATACAGTTGAAAGGTGCACTGCATACAGCAGACAAAATGAAGTTGTTTGAAAGGCTGAGAAAATAGGAATATTTAAGAAATGATACGTTGAACATAAAACAAAAGAAGAAAGGTTAGAGAGTTTTGAAAAGCGAAATGAATCAGACAAGAATGCCCTTTAAAACCTATGCTATTCTTAATGTATTCAAATGACTTAGAAGATGGACAGACAGAAGAAACCGAGAAAGTGTGACAAGGGTAAAAATATTCAGCTTAAAATATAAAAATGGAAACTTAATAGTAGCAGATTATTCAAAGGAAAATATGAACACTAGCTATAATATAGAGTTAAGCTAAAAGAAATGGAAATAGTAACATGGTTGCATTTTTTTGAAAAACTGGTAAATGACATATTTAATTATGGAGCAGAACTTAGGGGTGGAAAGATAAGAATAGAAGAGAAATACACACAACATGGATTTAATATAAAAGCACACCTTATTATAAATATCCGATGGGAAAACCCAATATCGCGATTAATATTCCGCGGAAAACGTTTTCATATATTTTGGAAATGTTTTAGATGAAAGAAGGACTAGAGGATTACAAAAAAATATTGTTTGAAACTAATTGCAAAATGATTAGTAAATAATAAAACAAATAGATGGGATTGAGAAATGAAGAGAATGTTCTGAAATATGTCAGAGATTGCAGCAGAAAGAAAAAATTAATCTTTTATTCCCAAGAACTGTCATTAATAATAAAAATTTTTTTAGTGTATAAGTATTCTACGTAAGCGTAATATCGAGTACTATGAGAGTACAATAGATAACTTGGATTAATCTGCTTAGTTCATCAATTATATACAAGGTTTGTATGGAAAAACCGTGTATTTTTAACATATTAATGTAGCTACATCATGAGATTTAAAAGTTATATACCAGTTTGTTGATAGTTAAATGACAAACAACTGTTTTAAAGCATAATGAAGTGGTTGCTTCTGGGTCGTTGATGGTATCGATACCTGCGTATGGAAGCACATTAAGCTAATATAATAATAAATTGACAAAAAACGATTTGTTATGGTTACTTTACTATTATGTTGCATAATGTGTTTCCATATAAAGTTCCATGTTGTTGATGTTAGGCTAAACTTGTGGTTGTTTGTTACTATTGTTGTCATGTGAAAGAGCAATTAGCAGCGTTGAGGTACGCTCGATTAATTTTCATACAAACTTTCTGCACAGAAACAAAGTGACTTGGACAGCGTTCCGGACATCATCAGATGTTCCGGACATCTTCAGACTGTTCTGAACGAGAAGATGGTGTAAACAGAACAGTGAAGTTATCAAGATGGCAGAGGAAATATACCGATACTGCGTGCGCTTAAAATATTCAGACACAATGTAAATAGTTAGGCTACACATTTTTTTCAAATGTTGCATAAGTAGGTAATTAACTTTATACGGGTGTGCTTGAAGCGTATTGATTATGTATGACAATTAAAAAAAATACATCATTAGAAACACCTCTTTCATCATCACTTCTGCTCAGATTGTCTTCGAGCAAAAATTAAGAACAACTCCGCCAGGTGAATCGAGCATGTTCTTGATCTTCACTTCTTTATATTAAAGCACAATCCCTTTTTACTACATTGGGAGCTTGGTGTTAAAAAAGTTACATAATAGTAATGATATGAATAATTAAATAATGTAAAAAATAAACATATTGATAAATGAGATACATAAAAATACTAGTAGTAGTAGTATACTAAAAATACTAAAAGAAGAAGCAAGTAGAAAATATATATATATATTGGCATTTTTAGAAAGTTAGCACATAATTGATAAAAGGATAAGAAGTTGTATAAATAACTTAAAGATTTTGTGTTTAGGGTTGTATATCCAATTCAATTAGATACAAAAAATGTATGATACACTGTAAAGTGTAATCTTCTTCCACAAGGCCAAAATACTAAGGCATGAATAAACTGAGTTGAATTGTTATTCAGTTAACTTAAAGCAGAGATTTTACATTATGTAACAGAATTGGCGTTACTTACGATACACATATTATATTAGGTAACAAAATAACGTTTCTACAGCCAGTTATAAATTGTTGGATGACATATGTTACGTTATTAATGAAAGCGATAAGTTATTTAGAAATAACAAAATACATATTAATAACGACCATATTGTTTTATTGGATAATGGAAGTCACATTACTTACGACAATGATAGTCTATTGGACAACAGTTATTAGCATGGTAGATTGGAAGACATCCTCTTCTAAGTTGAGGGAGGTGCTCCTCCAATAGACAGTCTACTTTTCTACAACTAGCACTATTTAATCCACTCCATTCTGTAGTACAAATACATGTTAAACAATTGTCATCATCAGGATATATCCGTTGTCCTAATTCATAAGTTTTGTCATTGTGTTTACAGGTAGCTCCTGAAAAAAGCGGTAGACACAAATTCCAAATAGGATTCACTATTAAACTGTTTATTATGTGCTTATTCTAAGATTTTAGGACAAAATTTTCAAATCTAACAAGAAATTATAAAAAATGTCCGAAAATTATTTTTTTATTTTAAATTGATGTTGTCGCACAGATAATTTTCACGAACTTTACAAAATTGTATGCATTCATAATTTTCAGAGAGAAATATTAATAATTTCTTTCCGTTCGATTTATGTTGTTATTTACGCACATTTTGGGCTTCTAATTTCGTGAAGAAAAACTCCCAGAGATTTATTTAACTTTATTGGAAACAATTTTTAAAAATCTTCAAAACTCGTCATTTTACAGTAATGACAACGCAAAACCATTGTTAAGAAACAATTATTCTCCGTCACACATCTAATTTCTACCTAAACCTGAATCAGTCATCTAAGGTGAAATGCAAATGATTCATCATTCAGTGTACGATACCAAATTAACATTTAATAATTATGGTTTTACCTATTTACAGTTCACGAGATTTTACTTCAACATGAAGTATAGTTTTAACGAACATTTAGGGAAGCATGGAACATGTGTTGCATATTTAAAACCTTAGTCTTGTTTTGTCCTCAATTATCTTCGATCACTCCTCTGAAAGAACCCTTTTCGGGGCATTTTTTAGTGTCTGAAGAATATGACAGAATGTGACGCGACTCCCAAGAACATCCCATACATGTGCGATGGGACTGAAAACTGGTGGCCGCTTCTTCATATTTATCTTTTCTTTTTTAGAGAAATGTGTCAGTTAGTTTGGCACGGTAGAAATTGGTGTGACTACGTGCTAGACTGAAGTCAGAGCCAGTAGTTCCAGCATATGGGTGTGGTCCCTATCATGATGTAGAGGTCGGTACACTCATTGCTTCTGACATCATACTTTCAACGTCGTCATATACGTCATGTTCTTGTATGGAAAGGTGACCTGGTTTCACGTTTTGTTTATATGAGTGCATGTCTGTTGTCTGGCTGTGGGTGGAACTCATCTGTTAAAAAATACATTATCTCAAATGTTGTCGGACCACTGGATGTATTCTTGGCACCATTAGAAGCGAGTTTATCTGTGCCTTACTTTACATGGAATGCATATCACTGAGCATCTTGCAAATAGGGTGGCCTTATGAAGTAAGTTTCTAACCATATGAGTTCTAATAAGGCGTCCAGTTGTGACTGCGTACATCAGATTCAATTTGTGAATACAGTAAGATAGAATTAATGGATAAGTTTATATCCTGGATGAGGATTAGCTTTACTCATATAGGAGCCCGAACAACTGTATATTGGTCTAGAAGAAGTTTAACACCCCACTAACAACATTTTGAGACACTTGGAGCAATTTTCAACAACTGTTGTAGTTGGTTCCCTTCAATTTGTCTAATGGCTTTCCGGATGAATTAAACACCCAAATGTATTTTCCCACACTTAGCCATGAATCAAGAACCAATTGGAGTGATTTGAATTATGAGACTCCTTTCAAATGGACAATAAGACAAAAGTGTATAAGGCCACTGTGTATATACATTAGGTGAATGATCAACTGTTAGCATTTTAGATTACATCAGACGTCTGATTTTCATAAGTAAGAAGTAATTACGTTGATTGATTTTATAACAATGGTTTTGCATTGTTAAAGCTATATCAAGTACCGAATACCTTTTAGTTGTTTTGAATTATGTAGTTATAATATATTCCCATAAGATGATTTTCAAATTTCATTTAAATTATTTTTCTTACTACTATTTTTAACATTATTGAAAACTTGGTAAGTTAGCGGTAAGATTTACAGTATTTTTTTGGACAATTAAATAGTTTAGCGTTAAAAATGTACCAAAAGTAACGTAAACTATTTCCTTAAATCTCTAAAAGTTGTTACAACTATCATTACTGGCATTAGTCTAATAAACTTGAGTTGCTTTTACTTAAAAAAAAGTATTAAAAACTCAACAAGTTCAACTACTTCATTTTCAGTAATGATACTTAAAACAGTATTTAGAGGTAACATTTTACTTTTATCCTTTAATGACTAAAATCATTTGAATAAAATATAAACTTGAAAGCGCCATAAATAGGATCCTTAAAATATTGTATAATGAACTCTTAGGTACTGATGATGTAAATAACAACGTTATTTGCTAGAATGACAACTTTTTCATGTAACAAAAAATCACATAAATTAGACGGTTACTTACGTTGGGATTGTTGATTGTTCTCAAAATCTAATAAAAAAGATATTTATTACCCTCATAGAATACTACCAAAAAGGTACACTTATGCCCTCATAACCTGCATAAAGAACTACAACAAGTAAAATAAATTAGAATTATTTTTAAAGGAACTATAATTCTAGTTATCTAACTATCACTAGATGCCACTTATATATATGATAAAATCTCACACACTTCGGGATCATCTTTCAAGGTAAAGTATTATTAAAACATCTAAAACAGAAGTTGTTACCTAAATTAAGTAAACATATTTAATAAAGGGATAGACAGTAAAAGCAGAAACATTCAGATAGAAAAATATATCATAAACTAATGAGAAACTAATTTTAGAAAGTTACCATATTTGCAAGAACAAGTAAACATATACAATAATAATGAAATTACAATTATTAATTCATTAACAAAGAATAATTGATGTTTTCTATTGCATTTATTAGCTTGCATTTTTTAATTTGTATTATATATAGCTAAATGTATTCTAATTTTTTAATTTGTGTCATGAAAATATCCTAAGTTCCCAAACAAAACTAGTTTTGGTAAATATACACAGCGTGGTCATAAGTAAATAGACACCACCTTTTCAGGAAAAATTAAATTTTTCAGTCATATTCACATGAATTAATATATTTACAATTTAATTAATATCTAGTAGATCTTCCTTTCGCTTCGTGGAGTTCGTTGATCCTTTGGGGCATCGTGAGAATCATCTCGCCAATTTTAGATTGTGGGATTTTCGCCCACTCTTGCTTCAAAACATGGAGTAGATCGCTCTTCGAAGTTGGTTTTTTTGGTTGTTTCTTGACTTGCCGGTCGAGTATGGCCCAGAGGTTTTCGATGGAGTTCATGTCAAAAGATTGGCTCGGCCAGGGCAGCTTCTGGATACCATTTTCTTCCTGCCACTTTTGGGTGTTTCTAGCAGTGTGACACGGTGTTCCACCTTTCTGGAACAACGTTGTGTTCTTGTCCACAAAACCCGAGGAATAAAGTGGCAAGAGTCTTTCCTCCAATATTTCGACGTATTTCGCACAATTTATGTTGCCAAAGCACTCCACTAAGCTCGATCTCCCACCAACCCAAACATCTTCCCAAAGCATCACGCTGAAACCACCATGCTCCACAGTTGGCTGCTATCTGTTGAGCCAAAACTCTTGGTGAGGCATTCTCCAGACCCATATCCTTCCACTGTCCGAAAATTGAGCGAATCTTGATTCGTCTGAGAACAATACTGTGTTCCAAAAGTCCAGAGGCTTGGTCATCATATCACTTGCCCACTTCTTTCGTCTGACTATGTTGGCGGGGCTTAATAAGAGTTTCGGTCTAGCCGCTCTGCACGATAACCCAATC